TAATTGTTAGACATTGTATGAATTGAATTTATTTTTGCATTTTTTATTGGAGAGTGAAATTGTCCCCGCGCTTGCATGTGCGTAATTTCTTCAATCCTTATTCGAAGAGGAGAGATATGGTGATTCATTCAGGATATAATTGTTGTGAATTGATAAGTGTTTTATATTGCTTTAAGGTTTTAATTCTTGTGCATTGTGTTGTTCTAACCGTTGGAAACGCGTGTCTGGTTGAGTCGCTTGTGTTTGAGCCATTTGATCCGAGTTCGGAAAAACCTTTCTCTTTAAGCAAATCCTCTTGTTCTTCAAGAGGCATATTTTGCTTGAGGGCAAGCAAGATTCTAGTTGGGGAGAGTTGTTAGATGCCCAATTGTGCTTATTTGAGCTATCAAATGTGGGCATCTTTCGCTCCTTTTTGTCTGGAAAATGTTCAAAACCGCCTTGCTTCTGTTGATTATGCAACATTATGTTAAATGTTTTTGGTCCCTTTAATTTGTGTGTTATTGTGCAGTGTTTGAGCATGAAAGAATAGAATTTGAAGACACAAGAAAGATGACAAAGGAATCAAGCAAGAAGAAGAGCAAAGGCTTGTTCGCTAGGCGAGCACCTGGCGAGTGAGTAGCGAGTGTTCGCTAGGCGAGCTCGTAGCGAGCTGCTAGCGCACACTCCCAGACTTGGGCATAATTAATTTGACATCATTCGCCGGCAGCGAGGAGGTGGCGAAAGGCTCGTTAGGCGAGCACCTAACGAGCAATTTCAGAATCTACCATCCAACCTTCGCTGGCTGGTTCGCTGCAGCGAAGCATTCCAGAAGCAAAACCTCAGTCATCGCTAGCATGTTCGCTAGGCGAGGCTGTAGCGAGCATTCGCTAGCAGCTCGCTGAGCAAGCATGTAGCGAGCGTGCCCAGATTTCCACTTTTCTATAAGTAGTAGGGGATACTTTTTGGCAATTATCTTTTTACTTTCTTTTTAGCTAGTTTTGCTGTAAGGGAGATTTTTATGCCCTAGAAACCCATTTTCTCTCATTTCTTCATCTCTTAACATTATTCAACAAAAAGAAGGTGGATTATCATCCAAGTTGGATTCTTCGACCCAGATGTTCATCAACCTTCTTCCAAAACTTCTTGTGCAAGCTACCATGAAAATGAGTGGCTAAGTTCTCCATTTTTGTCAAGGTTAGATGTAGGTGATCATTAAGCTTTGTATGTATATGGATGATCTTCATTTGTAAAACTCTTTGATGATGAATATATGGTGAAAACCTTATTTTATTTATAATCTTTGTGTTGGTTGATGATTGAAAGATATTTTCCAACTCTTGACCTAGGTTTTCATCCATCTCTTTTCTTGAGCTAGAAATAGTTTTGAATGTTGTTGTTCACTAAAATGTTAAACCTAAATGTTGTCATTTTGATAGATTATGTGAGAAATCAACAATGTATCAAAATGGTAAATATCACAATGTGAGTTAGAGATAATCACATTGGGAGGATATTGTGAATGTGTTTATCATTAAGGGTCTGTTTGGTTCAAATGAGGGGGAGGGGAGGGGAGGGATTTTAATGAAGGGAGGGGGAGGGGAGGGGATTTTTTTAATCAGATAAGTGTTTGGTTCAAAAGAGAGGAGGGGAGGGGAGAGGAGAGATTTTAATTAAAAATGTGTTTGGTTCAGAAGGGGAGAGGAGGGATTTTATTAATAATTTACAATTTTATCCTTATGATCTTATATAAGTCATATGATATTAAAATGTGAAAAATACATGCGTATTTTTGTTGGTAATAAAATTTCTAATATTGAGTGATTAAAAAAATATTTATTTGTCACATAAAGTTAAAAAAATTGAGTACAATTGATTCGACTTATAACTTTCCAACATAAATTAAACTATATATCAATAACATCGTTTAAATTGTGATGAATCATATAACAAAACAAATATATAAAATAACTTATTATTAAATATTAATGGTTCAAAATATTTAATAAAATGAATAAAAAATTAATTAAAATGAATGGTTTACAATTTCATATAAAAGAAAATATGATAGAATACCTAACAAAATCAAAAGAAAAAAAATGAATATAACTAAATATAATTTTTTTTATAAAAAAAAGACAATGATTATGATTTATATTAAGTATAGAAATTATAAAATAATTTGAAGGTGAAATACAATTATAATAAGTTAATAGAAACAATCGAGAAAAAATAGTAACACGAAAAAAAAAACGAATAGTTTTGAAATACTGAAATTAAACTGAGGATATTTTAGTAAATATAATAATTTTTAAATATTAAAACTCATATTCCCTCCCCTCCCCTCCAAATCCCCCCAATTCGGAGGGAACCAAAAATTGTGTTTTAGAGGGATTTTGCTCCCCTCCCCTCCCCTCCCCTCCCCTCCCCTCCTAAAGTTTGAACCAAACATATTTAATTAAAAATTTCCCCTCCCCTCCTAAAGTTTGAACCAAAGATATTTAATTAAAAATTTCCCCTCCCCTCCCCTCCCCTCCATCTACCCCGAACCAAACACACCCTAAAAGGAGTTTATGCATTTTGTTGATCGAACATATACATGCAAAGTGATTACCGAACCCTAACTTTGACAATCTTTATTTAAACCGTAAAACCAATATTTTACCACATTTATTACCTTTATGCAAAGCTACCGTGACTAAAAACCAAACCCATTTTGTTACTATTAAGTTACGAATTTAACAACTGTCGAACGATGGCAATATCTCATATTCCTTGTGGAGACGATAACAAAAACCCGATACTCTATCATTGCTCTAACAACCTTCAACTCTAGAGTCTACGCCAAACATCATTTAGAGAGTGTTCTTCAGATTTTGCACCATTAGAAGCTAATAATTCAACTTCTCTCAAGTGCGCCTTTGTATATCATATTCTGTATTATATATATATATATATATATATATATATATATATATATATATATATATATATATATATATATATATATATATATATATATATATATATATATATATATATATATATATATATATATATATACACACACACACGTACTAAAACCAACATACAAGAAACACACATAAAATAAAACCATTGTTCTTTTAATATTTTGTTTCATCAAAACTCAATGAATATATGTCACGAACAAATCTTGTTCTAACAGGTCAAACATAACAGTCCGACAATGACAACAACAAAACAATATTCAAACATCAACAAGTCGATAACACGATGGACAAAAATTCATAATAGGGTGATATGAAAATCAATTTCTAAACTATAATAAAAAATAATGTTCAAACATCTCACAAAATCAAAGATGTGCAGAAAGTTTGGAGCCTTCACAATTAAAGCCACAAATCTTTGGTATGACTTCAAAATTAATAATAAAACAAATAAATTTTGCGAGTAACAGAAAATATATACTTCGCAAAGAGTAACAAAAAACAACATTGAATTAAAGTTTTTAGGTTTAACATGAAAAAATAAAATTTGTGGCATAAAAAACATGACAATGTTGGGTAATAACATTGATAACATAAAAAATAATAATGCTGGATAAAACTTTGATAAAACATTATGAAAATTTGTGTATGAGTTCGAAATCAATAACAGAGAAATGATAATGAAAAGGATTCGCATAAATTGTTGCTCCATAGTAAAGGTTGAAAAAAGTTTGACAAAAATTATTACTAAAGAAGAAGAAACTAGGTTGAGATGAGAGATTACCGAGAAACAATATTTAAAGAAGATGTCTGAATAGAGATGATGAGAGTGTTCTGATCTCTCGTGTTCTTCAAGCAAATCTTTAAGTTTAAAAATTGAGAAGAGAGAACTTAAGGTTTGAAATGAGATGAAAAGAGAAAGAAAATTGATAAAAGGAAAAGAAGAAAGAATTGGACTAATAAAAAATGTGCAATATGGCAAAACAAAGCTTTGGTGACAAATATGTTATTTACTATTTTATCCTATCATTTGAGATAATGTAACTGATGTAGAATGACAAATAAGTATATTTGTTATACTATCTTAGTAATGGGTATTTAGTTTATACCAATACTTTTTTTATAAAAAATTAATATAAAATTTGTAGGGACAGGGGTAAATATGGGATACCACATGGTGTGCAAATTAGGAATGAAAATCTCACTCGAGAGTGTAACACCGTACGACGACCCACGAGTTCCTCTCCGCGAACAACATCCGAATCCAAACAAACATTAACCTTTAACTTAACAAACCCTAATTTTTGATCTGTCCCCAATTCATTCTCCCTTTTTCATCCCATCAATCTTAATAAACCCAAGATCAAATTTTATACAAAATTTCTCAAATAAAATCCCTAATTAACCTTCGTCCTTCGCTCAATTTCTATTTTTCTTGCCAATTTTGACCACAATTGTATATATATTGCGTCTCTTGTTTTCGTTCAACATCCTCCGCAGATCAAGTTTTATTTTTCTTCTTCACCAGCTCTGAAGGACCCCCAAATCTCTTTTTGAGCGGTAATTTGAAAATTCTCATCTTTATTAGCTTTGAATCGAATTCAGCTATTCAAAGTTTCATATTTGCTAGCTGGTTTCAATATATGAATTTCACTCTATGTCTTGCGTTTCATCTTGATTTTCTTGCTTTGATAATTGTTGCTTTGATAATTGAATTTGCCTTGTTGGATTTGGATATAACATAGAGCAACTTTAAAATTGGGCTTTTGGATGATTTTGCTTTGATTGGGAGGGAAATTAGGGTGGAATGTTGTTAATGTAATGGTTCATTGCTAATGACGACGAAGGATTAGACTTATACATGCAATATAGAGACTGTAGCTTTGTAGATTAATTCAACATTGAAGCATGCGATTGAACTGTTTACTCTAACAGGCTTAACTATATATTTGTAGATTTTGATTGTGAGTTTTAATTTCATGTCTTGTAACGTAAGTTATATGTATCGTGCAGAATGATTAGGTATTTAGTTTTGTAACTCACTGATATAAAAGTATGAGCAACAGTGAAATGGATAAAACCACAAAAGAGAAGGAATCAAAGACACCGCCACCAACATCACAGGTATAATTGAATTTCTCTTGTTTCAACTACATTGACAGTTAATGAAGCATTTCGTATTACGACGGTAACATTTATTGTTTTTCAGGAGCAGTCTTCGACCACCACCAGCACCGGAGCAGTTAATACAGATTGGGCCAGCTTTCAGGTTTTAAAAGAGTTTTTTTCGGCACATGGTTTTCTCTTGTCAGTATTAGATTTTGATTCACCCAGCAACTTCATTGTATAGGCATATTCTCCCATGCCTCCACATGGATTCATGGCACAAAGTCCCCAAACTCACCCTTATATGTGGGGTGTCCAGGTAATACTCCTCGGGTCGTCAGCTATATATCGGTCCTCTTTGCTTGTCACTATTTGTTCTTTATATTGTTATCTACTGTGCCAATACTACAAAATACCTGTTTTGAACAGTTCCCCATGTTATATTTGGTTTATTAATGAAATTATTATTTGCAGCACATCATGCCTCCTTATGGTACTCCACCACATCCCTATGTTGCAATGTATCCCCATGGTGGCATATATGCTCATCCATCCATGCCTCCGGTAATCATTATAAATCATGTTTTCCGAAAGTTATCATATTTTTATCGAATCACTAATTCACCAACCATTCTGTGCTAACTGTGGAAAATTTACACAGGGATCTTATCCGTACAGTCCTTATGCGATGCCTACTCCAAACGGTATTGCTGAGGCTTCAGTGAGTTTCCCCCCTTTCTGACTATTTTTGAGTTCTTTCTTTCTTCTTCTTCTTTGTCTGTACTTCCTTTTCCTTTAATGTGAAGGGCTTGTTCTTGTACAAGTATGAAAAAAGTAACACAAGTTTACATGCAGGGAAACACTCCCGCCAGCATTGAAACTGATGGTAAGCCTCCTGAGGTGAAGGAAAAATTGCCAATCAAAAGATCAAAAGGAAGTTTGGGTAGTTTGAACATGATTACGGGCAAAAATAATGAACATGGTAAAACAACGGGCACATCTGCTAATGGAGTTCACTCAAAGAGGTAACGTTGTTGTGTTGATTTGACTCTTCCATGAGATAGTGCATCCACTTTTTGTCATCGAACAATATTATGCTTTGATCTGGCTAATACTTATTTTGAGACCTATATTATGTGATAAAACTTGTTATAGTGTGACATGCCCAAGAGAGAAAATTTGGTGCTTTGAAGGACCCGTACGCAGTTACTTGATTTGCTTTGTATTTAATCAATCTTGCGGCTGTACTGCACTTTCAGTAACCAGAAATATAACATTAAGCCTGGCAGTGATTTATTTTTCCTAGCCCGCTGAGTAGTTTATTTTGCCATTTGCAAATTCTAGCAATTTGTGCTGATAGGAAATCTTGGATATGCAGTGGTGAAAGTGGAAGTTTTGAAGGTACTAGTGAAGGAAGTGATGCAAATTCTCAGAATGTAAGTTCTGTGATGGTCATTTACATATTTTTCTATAATTAATAACAAGTACTATGATAAAAATATAAAATAATTCGCTCTCTTGAAGGGTAAACTTGTAAGAACAATTTCAATTGTTAACAAATTAATACTACCACCAACTCTCTTAATTTCTGTGATTTAGTCAACAGAGTCCTGTATTTAGGAATGTAGATAGTATTTCCTAATGTCTTTCTGTTTTGATAGGGCTCTCAATTGAAATCTGGAGACAGGCAGGATTCTTTCGAAGGTTTGGCATTGTTACTTTCTGCTGTTCCAATATAGTTTCTAATTTTTACTATCTAATTCTATATGCAGTGCAAACTCATGTTATATGCGTGTTAAAGGCTGAAGTGTACCTTTTTCTATTGCATTATAGGTGAACCATCTCAAAATGGAAGTTCAGCGCATACTTCTCAAAACGGGGGACTCAATACACCTCATACGCTGGTTAATCAAACTATGTCTATCATGCCTATCGCCGCGACTGGTACTCCTGGAGCTGTTACTGGTCCTGCAACAAATCTAAATATAGGAATGGATTATTGGGGCACACCAGCTCCATCCAATATTCCTGCTCTCCGTGGAAAGGTTCCGGCTACTGCAGTTGCGGGAGGGATAGTTACTGGTGGATCACGGGATAGTGTTCAATCACAACTTTGGCTACAGGTTAATTTGTTACAACAGACCAATGATTTTTGCACCTCTTATATAAATATTTATATTTTTTCTGGTTAACTTTTAGGATGAAAGAGAGCTTAAAAGGCAAAGGCGGAAGCAGTCTAATAGGGAATCTGCTCGGAGATCCAGGCTGCGCAAACAGGTCATTTAGAGTTCTTTGTAGCCTTTATTTCATTCAGTGGTTGGCCGCTCATAATTGTCACGCTTCTGATTCCTGTTTGTGTGTGCTCTTTTCAGGCTGAGTGCGACGAATTAGCTCAGCGTGCTGATGTTTTGAAAGAAGAGAATGCTTCCCTCCGATTAGAAATAAGCCGCATTAGAAGCGAGTATGAGCAGCTACTTTCCGAGAACGCAGCTCTCAAGGTGATGTTAAATATCTCAATCACAATCGTCATATATTTAACTTTAATCAATAATTACCTTGGAAGTGTAATTTTTTTACACCGATAAAAACTTGTAAAATATTTATATGACCGCATACCATTATGTCTGACTAACATAAAGATATGATCTACAGCAGAGACTTGAGGAACAACCCAGTAAAGATCAAAACATTGGTAGCGACACTCAACAGAGTGGACAGACAGAGGATGTGCAAGCTGGTCATTAGGATCATACGCTGCATTTCGGGAAGATAACCTAACTCAAAAGCAAGAGCGCGATCTGATCTTGTTTCGGATATAGCTTGTAGCTCAAAGTGTATTACAGCTGCTGACCTTTTATAGTCTTAAAAAATTTGTTCTATGATCCCTCATTCTTCTTAATTTGGCTTTTACTTTTAACCCATTTAAATAACATGGATCATATGTAGTGTGTGAATTGTATCTTATCATCAGTTTCAAAGTTAGTTAGTGTCTTAGTAATATAGTGAATGAAACTGGGTGTTGTCCATTATAGTATATGGTTTCCTGTATAAAATAATTTATCAGGAAAATAATGAACAGATGGAAAGAATAATGAAAAGAAGGAATATCTCTGAATTGTGTTTCTTCTTTGTTGTTAAACTTTATTCTTTGTTTTAGATGGCCATGTTGCCAATTTACAATTACTAGTCTCATCATGCTGAATTCTGCTTGTTTACTGCATCGATGATTTGTTCAAGATCATGATAAAAAAAATAATTACATTTTTGAGATTTTACAGCACTAAAAGAAAATATGTTCTCGGATATATAGATGTCTAAAGTATTAAATATTTATGTACAACATATTCCTCGTTTTTAATAATTGAAATTGAGCACCCCAAACTACTTCTGTACCTCGATTTTATTTCATTTTCTCTTTTCATCTTTCACATAAACACTATTGATCCCACCAAGTTCATTCATTGCTTTCAAAAAGCGAGAAAAAAAGGGTTGCTCCTCATTAATTGTTTTTGAAAATTATCTTTCCAAAGTACTCTTATCAATTTTTTTTTAGAATGAGAAAAGTGTATATAAAATTTATATGTTTGAAAAATAAGGATAAGACACTAAATAATATAGAGTAAACTTCTGAATTATAACCTTTTTTACATGATTAATTTCTTAAACTCTCTTATTTAGATGAGTTAATTTCTGTATCATAATATTTAGAGTTGTCTTTGAGGGCGTGTAATACGATCTACAACTCAGAGTCTTATATTTTTTAATAAATAAATTATGACAAAAAAGATTTTCATACACGTTATTCACAGTTGAATAAAGTCTCCTAAAAATGATTTACAACTCAAATGAAGTTAACTCTCAATTTTTACACAGAATCTCTCAAAAGTTTGAGACGACTCTGATAATATATTTTACATGATTAATTTTTTAAACCCTCTCATTCAAAATCCCGTGTCATATTTTCTTAAACTTTCTAACAAATTCTTTCCTACTAATTTAATTATTGTATTTCGTAACACAATTTTAATATAAAAACTTCATAATCGTCTTAAATTTCATATAATGTATTTCTTTTTACTAATTCATAATTATGTTTTTCATGCATTGAGGAAATTGTTTAGAAGATATCATCCAGAATCTTTTAAAATTCCTTTAGATGTTAACTTCTAGATCTATGAGATGATTGTTTAAATTCTATCAGAACTTCTCAAATCCGACGTTGTATATTTTGTTGGAAAATAATTTAATATTTAAACAACAGTCGAGTCAGTGCGAAAACTGTTACATTAAATTTTGTGATAATAATTGAGAGAATTGATTCTAATTCTAGTATAAAATTAATATTTACAACAATGAGATATGGAAGAAGTGGTCAATATAAAAAATTTAACCAAAAATTGAAAATCATAATAAAGAAATGTGAATGTCCTCTACTACAAACATTTATAAAATGGGGAACATGCTAAATATGAAGCAACTGGTTGGGGGTTTTCTATTTTAGTTAGGATGGATAAGTTTAACAAATTGTAATGATATTAAAAAGGAATTAAATAAGAAAAAGTATAATATAAAAATTTCTATAGATTTAAATGGCGTCACCGATTTTTATGTGTTTTGATTTTTATAATCAATTATATGCATAATATATTATATTTTTAAAAATGAGGTCTCTCTCATTTTTAAATCACAATTCTTAATTATACTGTCAGAAATAATAACTTTAGAATCAGTAGTCACTATTATTAAGATTAAATTGAATGTCATAACAAACAATAGACAATGAACACAATCAATAAGTAAATAATAATAAAGATTCAAAGCAATTACATTAACATCATTTGATCATATATCACATAAGAGGAATCTAGTTACTCATGTTGAAATTAATCAATACCATTACTGTAGACTCGAAGAACATGAATAATCACCGAAGAATAAGCTCTTTAATGGCTTTCAAAAGCTTCAAAATTGCTCCGACGAAACTTTCACCTTGAACAATAGAAAATCGAGGTATAACGCCAAGACGCGCTACTTTTTATTATTTAAAAAAAAAAATAAAAAAATCATATATTTTCTCGTTTTTTCATAACACCGGAGAAAAAAAGACAAATCAGTACAAACTTCGATTCCTAACGATCGTAGTTTATGATTTTATTTGTTTATAAGTGTAAATAAAATGTTCTAACCTTTATGTTATCTATTTAAACGAGACATAATATAATAATATTTTACTATAAAAACACTTGTTAAAACAGATTTTACCCTAATCCTTACTAATATCAAACCGCCCCAAACTCGTAAGCATCATTCTTTGAAATAGATTGCAAGACAAAAAAAATCTTCAATATTCTTATATGTTGAACAAAATATTTTTCCTGCCCTTGCAATCTATCTCATGTAATGATGTTAATGTTGTTGTTTTTGTATTTTTGAAATAATTCTTAGTTAAAGAATGAAACGCAACCTTTGAAGAGTACTAAGCTAATAGATTGTATGTGTAAAAAATCATTCTTACTTCAAATTACACAAAGAAGGAAACTCAATCTTCGAACAGAGAAAAAAGCTTAACCAACAAAGAATGAAGCTTAACCAAAAAAGAAAGGAGTTTAACCTTTGCACAAAGAAGGAAACACAACTAAATCTGGATATCAGCAAAGATATTCAATAATAAGAGTAAATATTTATTGTAAACAATTTTTTAAATATTTTGTGTAAACAATGTAATTAAAAAAAAAGAGAATTATTCACCTCGATTTTAGTCATTATCGAGGTGATAGTTACAACGAGAAGATAAAAAACCTCAATTTTGTATGTAGTCGTCCTAAAGAGACGAAATATTCACCTCCGTCAATTTGATCATGAGTTGCTACTGCACATCTTTGGAGTAAATTGCAAGTGCAGAAAATAATTTTTTTTATTGAGAAACAGATTTCTAACATCTTGCATGGGATATGGAAAATAAAAATTCTCATTGCGAAACAGATTTTGCAACGTACTTTTAATATTACGTGTAAACAATGTAATTTTAAAAAAATAGCTTATTCACCTTGGTTTTTTTCGTGATCGAGGGGATAGTTAAATGTTTCTTAACTATATTCAACGCTATTAAACAAATCTTTGTCTTCAATTTAATTTTTACCAATGCTCAAGAATATGCCACTAGTGATCCGCGTGAAATCTAAGGGACATCCATTATAAAAGCATGTTGAATATTAAAAATATAACCTAAATGGAACATGAAGTGTTTAAAACATAAAGATGTTTGGAAAGATTCTCTAAGATGGATTGCAATAACAGAAAATTATTTGGGTTCAAAGTTTGTTTTCTTAAATATTTATTTGAGCACAAAATCATATATTTGAATATTGATTTTATTTATCTAACCCTTCTTTTGTTTTGCTTTAGAATCAAATGCATGCAAATCGTTGAAGAATATATTTGCACAAACATTTGATCGTCACCCACATAAAAAATTTAATTTTTTTCTAGATCTATATGAAATATTTTGTGTAAACAATGTAATATTCTGTGTAAACAATATAATATTTTGGGTAAACTATATAACAGTTTTATTTTTTAAAAAATAAATAAATTATCTTACCTTTCGGTTTACAAAATAATAAAAGTGTAGCTGTTGGGGCTCGAACCCATGTCCATATAATTTTACCTCTCGGTTTTAATTCTACTGAGGTGATAAGTTGCGAGTTTTCATGTTGCCCTTCGTTACCTCTCTTCTTTAGCCAAGGTATTATGCATTTCGCGTCCGAGGTAAAAAGCGCTTTTTGTAGTAGTAAATACATCACTTTTCTTTCTCCATAACCGATCCTCTTATTTTTTCCTTCTTTTTTTTCCTTATAAAGCAGTCAAAAAGTGTGTCAGCAAAAAGATGCAACACAGACGCGCCACATGTCAATGCGGGTACATTGAGTAATTATGAACTCAACGCGGACGCGTTTTGGGACAAAGCAGACACATTTTTTCCAGAGGTGAAATAATGAATTTTTGTTCCTTTTTTCCACCAGTTTTCACAACAAGTGTTTTTCTTCACTCAAAAGTACTTTTTCTAGCCTCTTTCACTCTTTTGTTTTTAACATGCTAATTTTAAATCAGTTTTGGTCGACTTTTCTTGCTAAATGACGTGCAATGACAACATGTCATCACAACCTCAAATTTGAATTGTTGCTTGTCCTTAAGTAACTTGTCTGCACATTGAAACTTTGTCAAAAATAAATTACAAACTTTACCACACGAATGTCACTTGCTTTTTCTGATCAAAACATTTATTCTCTGCTTTACTTTAATTAATTTATATTAATTTTCCAGCACCGGTACTGAACATGTTTCTATACTCACCATTCTTCACCCAAATTGCAAGGATGTTCAGTCAATCACATACAAGAGTAAAAATCAATATATTTGTAAGTTATCTGCAAAATCAGTCAAATCATATTTAAACACACACCTTTGAGAATTTTTTAAGATTGTATCTTAGCTTATGTCAGAGTATGACAACTTTTTGAATAGTCAAGCTTAAACATTGGAATTAGGTACCTCTTTGTCCTTCCATTATCTTCTTCCTTTCATATGACTCTTTCATTCATATTGGGTATTAGAGAATTTTCAAACTTTTTTGTCTCTTTCTTTTCTTTCTCATCGTTTCTTTTTTAATTTCACGTTTTTGACATCTTATTTTTCTTTTTCTTTTTTTTGACCAAATTCTCTAGTACCCCCAATCCTAAACTTTAATGTTGCTAACTTTCAAGAGAAACCCCAAATTTAGTGATTAACATATACTGAAAATGAAATCTATCTACCTAACTTCAAGAAGAGTGAAGAGATTTTATCTTTCAAGTCAAATGCTTATAATAGGCTGAGTCAACAAATGAAAGACTAAGGATCAAATTGGATAACACAAAATACCAGTTAATATAAATAGGTTGTTTTCAAGGTTGTAGACTTTTCACAAACAAATGCCTTTATATGTGTTTATTAGATCAACTAATTAAGATAAATGAAATGAAAAATCTAGTTACAGATGCATGGATACACTCAGAAAAAGAAATAAATAAACAATGAAAATATTTGGTCTCAAACCTCACTTGTTTAAATATCTAGAGGTTGAGTACAAGAAGTGGTGTCCATTTTCTTCATCAATCATCACTCTGTTCGGTTACTTCAATCTTGACCACTTTGTTCACCTGTCATTGTGATTGCTTTTTTATTCGATGGTAAGGTAGTAACTCAACTGAAAAAGAAACAAACACAAACAAGGTCATTCATCAGTAAGAGCGAAGCAATACAAATTATGAGAATAAGAGATTATTGGATAACTTTCCATCTTAACTAGTACAAAATTCAAATAACTAAAACTTCAACTCTAACCATGGGTTGCCTCCCATTTAGAGATTCTTTAAGGTCATTAGCTTTACTCTAGTTCCTAAGGTTCTTCGAGCACAAAAGATACCATTTTTGGTGCAATCTCGCCTCCTACATATATCTTCAGTCACTGCCCATTTACCATTGAAGTCCTTATATCTCTAGAATCATGCAATTCTACTGCCCCATTTGCAAGTACCTTATGCACAATGAATGAACCTGACCACTTGTATTTCAATTTCTCTCGAAACAACTTCATCAGAGATTGTATAACAATACTATTAGTCCCACTTAGAAATTTCTTCTCACAATGTGTTTGTCATGATACCTCTCGATTTTTTCCTTGTAGATCACTGCATTATCATATACTCTCAATCTTATTTCTTCTAACTCATCCAACTTCAACAACCGTTTCCTACTCGAAACTTTTTAATCAAAGTTTAAAAACTTAATTGCCCAATATGCTTTATGTTCAAGATTGACGGGTAAATGACAAGATTTTCCATAAACTAGCATGTATGGTGATAATCCCATATGGATTTTGAAAGATGTCTGTATGCCTCAAGTGCATAGTCCAATTTCTTAGATCAATCTTTCCTTGATGTCGTAATTTTTTTTTAGAATATGCTTTAATTGTGTGTTGGAAACTTTCAATTATCCGCAAGTTTGATGGTTTGTGTTTCACGTTGTATTTTACTAGCACATTTTACAAATACTTGTTGCAAAAATGTGTCCCTCCATCACGGATCAAGACTCTGGGTAATCCAAATCTAGCAAAAACATTATTTTCCAAAAAGTTAGCGACATTTTGGGCATCATTAACTACACAAGCGATTGCTTTAACCCATTTCGTGACATAATCCACACACACAAGAATATAAACACGAGAAATAGAGGAGGAAAAAAACCCATGAAATCTATCCCCAAACAATCAAAAGGTTCAACTTCTACTATACCTTTCTATGGAATTTTGATATTCAATACATCATTGTACATTTTGCTTACAATCCTTTAATATTGATGACCATAAAAATACATCATATTTGTATGATATAATAAAAAATACGACAAAAAGTTAAAAAAAACATGCATGAATATGTGTAACTAGTTCGTAGAAATGTAAAAATTTATTTTAGTTTTTAAAAAGTGCGTGGGAGATAAAAAAAAATTCAATTGTTTTACTTATTTTACATTAATGACAAAATTGTCATTTCATATATAATAAAAGGGGGTGAGGTATAAGAGTAGTAGTGCTAGTAAAAATCTCGACGAATTGAGAATCTCTCTCAAATTGATTGTGGAGGCCCAAATTGGCCTTTTATTGTTTTATGGGCTTTGCATAAAAAAACACGTAGAAAGAGGTCACAAACAAAACAGACGAGGATTCTTCTCTCTTAAAATCACAAACATTTGAAGGTATCCGTGCCTCTCTAAACCTCTCTCTAAACCCTAATTTTTTCTCTGCTGATTTTTGCAACTGTTTCAACGTAGAAAACGGTGAGTCCTTATACGCTTCCATTTTCATTTTCTCGTAGAAAAGATGCAACCTATGCATGTTCTGAAATTATAAGTTTGTTAGGTTCTTATCTCACTGGATTGATGATCTCTTTGATATATTATTGGTATTATTGGGTTCTAAATGGGTTCCTGAATTGAAGATGTTCGGTTCTACTCCATATTGAATCTCTACTACTTTTTATTTCAATTGATTTTTTCTAGTGGAATTTCACTTGCTCTTATGCCATCCTCATTGTGTAAAGAGGTGAATTTGTGCTGTTGTTAGGTTTTATTGTTTGTGTTACGTGAGCCAGGAAAGGGTATTCTGTTTTAAGCTGATAGGTTTCAATAATTACAAACATGGTTATAAATTGCTGATGGTGTGATTGCGGTTATGGCTAGCCACAATGTAATCTTGAGTGGACGGTGTTTGAAATATACAGCTGAAAAGCTTTTAAAGTTAAGGTTTTTCACTACATTTAAAAAATATTGAAAAGAACTAAACCGATGTGGCCAAAATTGTCTTATGCGGTAGTTGTTGCAACCGCAATTGTGGTCTATTGGGGTCTGATACCCTTTCGAGTGTTTCGATTGCGGTCTATTGGGGTCTGATACCCTTGCTAGTGTTTCGATTGCGGTCTATTGGGGTCTGATACCCTTGCTAGTGTTTCGATTGCGGTCTATTGGGGTCTGATACCCTTGCTAGTGTTTCGATTGCGGTCTATTGGGGTCTGATACCCTTGCTAGTGTTTCGATTGCGGTATATTGGGGTCTGATACCCTTGCTAGTGTTTCGATTGCGGTCTATTGGGGTCTGATACCCTTGCTAGTGTTTCGATTGCGGTCTATTGGGGTCTGATACCCTTGCTAGTGTTTCGATTGCGGTCTATTGGGGTCTGATTCCCTTGTCTATTTATTTGTTTTTGAATTTTTTTCTTATGGTGTTTTTAATTTTCTGTTTATCTTATTTTTATATCAAAAATTTTAGTTTTGCATGGCAGCTTGCATTATTTTATTTTATTGAAAGATTTGTTTCCATTGATATTTGTATAGATTGAAATGGTGGTGCCTTTGGTTAATGATGATCCAATGATTGACGGTGAAACTGAAGATTTGGACGAGATGCCGTCAGATTCTGATTCAGAAGAAGATGTTAAATTAGCTGAACCGTCAAAAAATGCAGTGAACAACAGAGAAGCTATATTAGATAAACTTGGAGACATAAGCTGGCCCGAGAATGTGGATTGGAAGCACAAACTCTCCATTGATATTGATCAAGAGCAAGAAGTAGATGTGAACGATGATTTGGCACGAGAGCTATCGTTTTACACACAAGCATTGGAAGGAACTAGGCAAGCATTTGAGAAGCTTGAGTCAATGGGTTTCCCTTTCTTGAGACCTGCCGATTATTATGCAGAAATGGTCAAGGCAGATAGTCACATGGAAAAGGTGAAAAGTCGGCTATTAGAAGAGAAGCGGAAGATGGAAGAGGCTGATGAGAGAAGAAAGGCTAGGGAAGCAAAGAGATTGTCCAAAGAGATTCAGTCACAGAAATTGAAAGAAAGGGCCAAGCAGAAAAAGGAAGACATTGAATCTGTTAAGAAGTGGAGGAAGCAGAGACAACAGAGTGGGTTTGCTGACGGCGGCGATGGTCCAGATAAGGCTTTGGGCTTTGAAGATGGGAAAGTGTTTGAGAGATCAAAGAAGAAAAGGCCCGGAGTGTCTCCAGGCGATCGATCAGGAGGTAAGGCAAAGCAAGCTTTTGGAAAGGGAAAGATGCAAAAGAAAAGAGATACAAAGAACTCCAAATTTGGTTTTGGAGGCAGGAAGGGATCGAAGAAGCAGAATACAGCTGACACAACTAATGATTTTGGTGGATTCGGTAAGGGTGCTGCTGCTTCTGGAAATAAGAAGAGGAAGAGATAAACGTAATCTTCTTTTGATTTGTTTTCTCACAAAAGGATGACATGGAATGTTTGTGACCATGGCATATTTTTGGGAATTTATATCAAATCTGCAGTTGTATGTCCGACATGGATTATGGTAAGTTGATAAACTTTATTGGCAGTTATAGATTCTTATATATCTACTCCAATTTTGATGTTTTGTTGAACAATTTTTTACTCTGTGCTGCTCATTACAAAAAGATATGTGATAGCTCTTTTAAGTACACAAGCTGATGTAATGTAGACATATCTAGAATTCTTATGTTATGTTATTCAATCAATCGACCACTCTTTAAACTTTGTGCTGCTCATTAAACCAAGCAAAAGTTAAATTTTATTCTGTTTTGTAATGTAATTTTGTTCATGAAAACGTCTGTTGTCAACATTGAAACAAACATGCATCTAAAGGCAGGTAAAAATGTGCGTAGAGTTGTTGATCAATAAAGAGTTGCTGATGAAAAGAAAATGATTTGGGTGTAATTTTTTTAATTGGTATCTATATTTTTTTTTTTTTTTTTTATAAGCGTTGGTCTGAATAATAAGAGGCTCAGAATCTTAAACTAATGTCTCGTATAGAAGTGCGTTTATTTATTTATTTTTGAAAAATAAAATAAAAGAGATTCTAAAAGAATACTAACTATCTATTTCGTATTTCTTGAAATCATTTGATTTTTATTTATTTATTTATTTTATGAATGTTATAACTAATTATATATGGATAAATTGTGGTGATCGATAAGTATTTAATATAATATTTTTAGTTAAATAAAAAAAATTAATTGAAATATACTGCTACTATAAAACTATTTTATACAGATAGAAGAGAGAAATATGGAAGAATAATTATTAAAATAATTTAATTATAATTTAATTTTTTTAATTTTTAATTCTATAATTATGTGATAGATTAATATATTTTTATTAGATGATAGTGTAAAATTATCTTGCACTGTGTTAATGTATATCAATTAATTTTTTTTAAAATTATTTTTCAATTTTTTAAACTGTCATTAAATTAGAATGAATTATTTTGACACATATATACACACAACATCACATCATTTTAATTACGAACAATAAATAAATTAAACTCGGACGTTACAACTTTCTTTCACTTAGAACATTTTTGTCCTCAAAGATTTACTTGATGCGAACAAATCTGGATACGACTCTCGCATCCTATTTTCTAACTCCCAAGTCATCTTCCTTCCGGCAACGCCTCCCCACACTATCTTCAAAAGAGCAATCTCCTTGCCTCTCAACTGCTTCATTTCACGGTCATCAATTCTCATAGGTAAGACCTCAATTGTAAGGTTATCCCTCACCTGTACATTATCCATAAGAATCACATGCGACGGATTCAGAACATACTTCTGAAGCTGTGAAACATGGAATACATCATGTAAATTCGACAAATTTGGTGGTAACGCCACTCTATAAGCAACATCTCCAACCCTCTCTAATATCTGATACGGACCAATAAACTGAGGAGCAAGCTTCCTCGACTTCAAGGCACACCCAACACCGGTCACTGGAGTGACTCTCAAGAATGCATGATCTCTCTCATGAAACTTAAGATCATTCATTCTCTTGTCATGGTAATTCTTCTGCCTACTCCACGAAGCTTTCATCTTCTCTTGAATAAGCTTCACATTCTCAGTATTCTATTGAACAATCTCAGGTCCAAGTACGACACTCTCCCCAGATTCATGCCAACACAAAGGTGTTCTACACCTTCGGCCGTACAAAGCTTCAAAAGGAGCCATTCTAATACTAGAATGAAAACTGTTATTATAAGTGAACTCAGTCAAAACTATCCCAAGCACCTTGTTGTTTAAGAACACAAGCTCTAAACAAATCCTCAAATGACTGAATAGTCCTCTTTGTTTGACTATCTGTCTATGGATGATAAGTTGAACTCAACCTCAGCTTCGAACCCAAGGCCTCCTACAAACTCTCCCACAATCAGGAAGTGAACCTCATATCTCTATCAGACCTAATACTCAATGAAACTTCATGCAGCTTCACAATCACACGAAAATAAATCTCCGCCAACTTTTGCAAGGAAAACTGATGTTAATTGGAATGAAATGCGTCGACTTTGTTAGTCTATCAACAATCACCTAAATCACATAATGCCCCCTCAGAGTATTCGGCAACCCAATCAAGAAGTTCATCGAAATGCTATTTCATTTTCACTTTGGAATATCCAACGGTGGCATCAACCCTGCAGGTTTCTGATGCTCAACTTTCGACTTCTAACAAGCATACACAAACGGTGTCATATCACACTTCAATCCAGGCCACCAAAATATCTTCTTCATATCCCGATACATCTTTGTAACTCGTGGATGAATACTTAAGTTACTCCAATGACTTTCTTTCAAAATCATCTTTTTAAATTTAGAATCATCAAAAATGCAAATTGTGTCACGAAATCTCAGCACACCTTGCTCATCCACTTTAAAATCGCTATCCTTAGTCTGATTACTCAACCATCAAATCCATCAACTTTACATTCATCAAACTCTGCGGTGTTAACTTACAGACCAAACTCAAGTCTCTGAACAACTCAATCAATTCTAACTCACTAACCATCATAGCCGACATATGCAAAGTCTTCCAACTTAAAGTATCAGTCATAACATTAACTTTACCGGGATGATAGTTTAAGACAAAGTCATAATCCTTCAGAAATTCCAATGTGATTCTTACAGAGTGAACTCGTTCCTGTGTGATTATATGGTACCACATGCATATGAGTCTAGTTGAAATTGTGCGTCTCATTGCATAATTTAATTTATGAACACATGTGATTGTTTATTGTATGATGATGGATTAGATGTGAGAATGATGTTGTGTGATTGATGTGAATTGTGTAGATGTTTGAATTCTACATTACAATTTATAGTCGTTAATTTATTAATGTGAATTCTTAGTCCCTTTGTTTTGATGTTGTCCGCCATGAATATCTTACAGATAATTAAGATTAGAAGTTGCTGATGCGAGTGGGAGATATCTTTTGAAGTTTTTTTCATTTAGTTTCCTCGTTCATTTAGTGACTATGCTCTGATCATGTAACACCGGAGCTGAGACGTTTGTTTTACTTGTTGAACTCAAATTAATGTTTTGAGGAGTTTTATGATTTTTATTTGAAGTTGAGAATAAATTTGATTTTATGAGTGTTTTACTTTGAATTTTTGATGTTATTTCAATATAATTGGAATGTTTTGAAGTTGGTAACACTTTAATTAGCATATAATACTTATTGTATAAGCTCCAGAGATTATGATGTTATAGAGGAGGTGATCGGGTCCTCGGCATAGACAATAGTGTATCTATTCCGTACACTTTCTTCTTTATCACTCATTATTAGGCATTTTTCATGGGTCTTTCCAACTGCAAGAACAGGTTGCATACCCCTCTTAAGAGTGACAATGAAGAAGATAATAAGATTGCAGCTGATTTGTAAGTTTATAAAAATAGTACTAGTAACAATTTTAAAGATGTTAGTTATGATTGGAAAAAAGAAAGAGATGGTTACAGTCACACACGTTACTCAGCAATCACATGCGGTTCACCGGATTCAATAAACCAAACTAGTACTCCAGCTTGCAACAACATTTTAAAATTAGATTCTCGATTTTCACACAAGTTGCCGGCGGGGAAGTAGTTGAAACCACAGATTACGCTTCCTAATCCATTTTTATATTCTAATCAAATTTTGGTGATCAGTGCAAATAACAAGGATTAGTATCATCTTCTTCCAGTTTTTCAAACATTTTAGATTTTTTTCACAAACAAACAAAAAATCAATGGACGTAGCCATGCTTAAACAATCTATCTCCAACATCCTACAATGGATGAACTCCTTAAAACCCTTAGCAAATCGTCTATCAGGAATTGACATCAATAACATTGAAAACAATCTTAATCAAATCAATCACAAAGTCCATCAACAGAGCCTTTCCGAGACTCTTCTTTTTCCTCTACCATGGCTTCAAAAGGTTAAGGAACTAGTCATTGATTTGAATGATTTGATGGAGGATCTTCGTTACAAGGAGAGTACTAATGCTGCAACTAAGTCGCTTATCAGATCGGGTTTAAACATAAAGAATCGCGTTAAAGCGACTCTCCAAGTTAAGAAAGCAACCGAAGAACTCAAACGGTTGTTGAATGAGGAAGATGCAAAGGTAGAAGAACAAGAAGAAGAACAAGTTATTATTAGTGATAATAATGAGAAAAGAAAGTCTGCATACAAAATGTTTGTGGAAAATACTGAGTGTGTAGCGGTTGGCAGAGAAAATGAGAAGAAGGAGATTATAGATCAACTGCTGAACATGAACATGAACAACTCTGCTGTTAATCCTGATGTAATTGTAATTGTTGGTGTTCCGGGAATTGGGAAAACTAAACTTGTGCGTCTTGTTTGTGAGGATGAGCAAGTCAAAGCTCATTTCGGTTTGCAACTGATTTGGATCAAAACTTTTGATGTTGAATCCATAGTAAAATGCGTGACTATTGTTGATGGTAGACGTCAGTTACTTGTTATAGATGATTTGCAAATTGGGATTGAGCATGATGATGTTCTGGAGAAGTTGAAGAAGAAATTAATGAAGGCTGTTGGTTGTACTCATACGGCGATACTTATTACTACACGAAGTAATCATGTTGCTAACAACATTGGTGCTAGACATGTTTTGAAGTTGCAGGGACTTAATCAAGAGGAGTCTTGGGCCTTGTTTATGCAGATTCATGGACCAATTACTTCGACCAAAAAAGAACAAAGCAATGACGAACACCAACGCACAATTGTGAGGGATTGTGGTGGAGTCCCTCTTATGATAGTGATTATAGCGACGGTGATTAAGAAGCATAGTGGTGGTGGTGGTGGTGATAATGATGAATGGATTCCAGAAGTACTACAAATGCTCAAGTTTATCTATTACGACAATCTTCCCACTTATAAGAAACTATGCTTTGCTTATTGTTCATTGTTTCCAGAAGATTATTTGATTGATGCTGAAAGAATAATTCAGTTCTGGACTGCTGAAGGATTTCTCACCATTCAAGAACAACAATTTGGTCGAGCTTGTTTCAACGACTTTGTTCCTCTGCTTTTCCATCAAGTGGAAGAAGAAAACAACCACCACAGGTACTACGGTGGTGTGAGGAACGACATGAACAACTGCTTTTATAGAATGAACCGGTTAATGCATAAACTTGCAAGGCTGATTTCCGTCAGCAGTGATGAAAACATAACTGTGGATTTGATGGGGGAGAGAGTTCATGGTGGAATGCTGCGAGTTTCGTTCAATTTCGCTTTAGATTTGTTGTGTGAGATCCCTGATTCGGTGTTTGAGAAAGCAAACAAACTAAGGACTATTCTTTTGCCATACAACACTAACAACCCTCGGCTTCCAAACGAGGTAAAGATGACCACATCAACCTGTGATAACATCTTCAACAGCTTCAAGTACTCGCTACGCGTGTTGGATCTACATGACTTGGGGATCAAGATGATTCCGAGCTCTATTGGAGGTGTTAAGTACTTGAGGTATCTAGATTTATCCCATAACAATGTAGAGAAGCTTCCTAGTTGCATCACAAATCTTATCCACTTGCAAACATTGAAACTGTCTCAATGTCATATCCTCAAGGAATTGCCAAAAGACATAGAGGATTTGGGTTGCCTCAACCATCTTGACATTGAGGGATGCTTGCATCTAACTCACATGCCAAGTGGGATAAATAAGCTCACTTCGTTACAAACATTATCACTTTTCGTGGCCAGCAAGAAACAAGTTACGGGAGGACTTAGATCACTCACGGATCTTAACAATCTAAGCGGCCACTTGGAAATTTCGCAGCTTGAACAAGTCAAGTTCTCTCCATCCAAGGAAGCTGCTAAAGATGAATTTTTGAAAAATAAACAACACCTCGAGTTCTTAACTCTAAGATGGGATCACGAGGAAGAGGAAGAGGAAGAGGAAGAAAGCGATGTTGACAAAGACACGAAGTCGCTTGAATGTCTCCAACCACATCCGAATCTGAGACTCCTATCAGTTGTCGGGTACAATGGTCAAACCTTGTCTAACTGGCTTGCTTCACTCCAATGCCTTGTTAAGTTTACTTTGAACAACTGTCCCAACTGCCAATCTCTCCCACCAATGGATAAACTTCCGCATCTTAAGGTTCTCAAACTTCGGAGATTGGATTCTTTGAAATTCATTGCAAAAAACAATCAAGTAGCTGAATCCTCTACACCAATATTCTTTCCATCCTTGAAGGAACTTACAATCTCAGATTGTCCTAATCTAAAAAGTTGGTGGGAAAATGAGATATGGGAAAATGATAGACCAACTTTCAGTTGCATTTCAAAGCTAAATATCCAATCTTGTCCAAAATTAGCCTGCATGCCGCTATATCCAGGTCTCGATGAAGAGCTGGTTCTGGTGGAGTCGAACGTAAGATCAATGAGGGATACAATGCATCATGCCGAAAATGTCGTAAGTGAGACTTCTAATTCACAATCACAGCCCTTCTCCAAATTGAAGTCCATGGTAATAGAGCGAATTGATCATTCTCCACCAGAAAGGTGGCTTAAAAACTTCATTTCACTAGAACAACTTCACATTCGAGATTGTATTATTTTTGAATCTCTACCACAAGGTTTCAAGTATTTAAGTTCACTCGTATCACTCTCAATTGAACGATGTGAACAACTTGATCTTGGCATTGACAAATCCAAAACTGAATTGAAGGGTCTGACTGAATGGGAGGGTCTGAAAAACCTTGATTCTCTTACATTAAGGAGTATTCCAAAACTCGAGTCCCTTCCATGGGGAGTTGAAAAGGTGAAATCTTTGAAAGATTTAAGAATTTATGATTGCCATGCTTTAACTTCTCTACCTGAAAGCATAGGTAACCTCACTTCACTGGAGAAACTGGTTATTTCTGAATGCAGAAATTTAGATTCTCTGCCTAAAGGAATGGAAAAGATTGAGTCACTACATACTCTGATTATTATGGACTGTCCTTTGTTATTACCAAGGTGTCAACCAGACACAGGTGATGATTGGCCACAAATTGCTCATATAAAAAATAAACTGGTGAGGGAAACTTCTCAAGACTTTGAGAGATTACTTGTGATGGAGACTTTCTTTTGATGTTATGTTAATTATTTGTATTGATTTTTAGAAAGAGATAGACAACAGAAATTAGAGAATAGAGTGATATTTGTATTTTACTATTTTGTATTGGTTATGTAATTCAGTTAGTGAGTTAGTTGATGAGTTGCTTGGGGAGATTGTTATTAGTTAGTTTTTTTATTATAAATACATTATATTATGCAGTTAGTAGTTAGTTGTTGGAAATTGTAAATCAAACACATTGAATACACTCTCTATTCATCATCTTGCTTCAACAACATCAAAGTTTTTCACAACTTCATCTTCTCTAATTGTTGTGGCATTGTGTATGCTAGGTTCTATCAAATTGGTATTGCAGAGCCCGATTCGATAGCTGCAGCCAGAAGACTCTTGAAGGATGGGAAAACACAACAACAATATCTCTACACAGCTGCCAGTTTTTGAAGGCAAGAACTTTGACCAATGGATCGTGAAGATGAAGGTGATCTTTAGGTTTCAAGAAGTTCTTGAAGTAGTGAATGAAGGCATAGCAGTCTTGACAGGCAATGCAACTGAAGAACAACAAATTGCTCACAAAGAACTGAAGAAGAAGGATGAGAAAGCCATGTTCTTGATACATCAAAGTGTGAGTAATGAGATCTTTGAGAAGATCATGCACTATGAAAGTGAAAAAGAAACATAGGATGCGATGGAGAAGCTGTATGCTGGTGATGGGAGGTTGAAGAAGGTAAAGATTGCAAGCACTAAGAAGGAAGTATGAAGTGCTAACAATGGAAGAAGAGGAAACCATCAGCCATTACCTTGACAAAGTGATCACTCTCACAAACCAAATGACAAGGAATGGTGAAGTGTTTACTGATGTAATGAAGGTTGAAAATGTCCTCAGAACTCTAACACCAAGGTTTGATCACATTGTGGTTGCATTGGAGGAATCAAAGGATCTAGACTCCATGAAGATAGAAGAATTGCAGGCAAGCCTAGAGGCACATGAATTGAGATTGACTGACAGGATCAAAGAAAGAGGCAAGGGTGCATCTATGGATCAAGCATTGCAAGCTCAATATGTGAAGAAAGAAAAGTCTAAGAAGGAGATTCAGTGCTATAATTGCTAGAAGTGGGGGCATTATGCATCTGAATGCAGATCAAAGAGAGTACCAAGGAGCAAGGATGAGGCTCAGTTTGCTCAAAATGAAGGCTCAGATTTAGATGAAGTGTTACTGATGGTAACAGTCAAGGATGAAAAAGAAAGAAGTGATGAATGGTACCTAGATACTTGGTGTTCAAATCACATGACAGGCAAGAAATCTTGGTTTTCTGAACTAGATGAATCTGTGAACAGAAATATTAGATTTGCAGACAATAGTATAGTATGTGCAGTTAACATTGGAAAAATTATGATCAATAGGAAGGATGGAAAGAAAGCATGTATTACTAATGTACTATATGTGCCAAACATGAAGATCAATCTGATCATCATCGGTCAACTATTACTAAAAGGATACACCATGAAGATGGAAGCACAAGCCATGAAGGTTTTTGATCACAAAAGTAGACTGATTATTAAAGCTCCACTGTCAAAATAAAGAACCTTCAGAATTAACATGAATGTGATTGAAGATCAGTGCTTGATGTCTGAAACTAAGCATGAGGAGTGGTTTTGGAATCAAAGATATGTGCAATATGTTGCACTAGAAAGCAAGCCAGAAATTCATACAAAGCAGAGGTACCATTCAAGGCAACAAAGAAACTTGAGGTAATTCACTTAGATGTTTGTGAACCTTTTGAAGTAAGGTCAGTGGGGGGAAACAACCACTTTGTAACATTCATAGATGAATTCACTAGGAAATTATGGATTTACTTGTTAGCTAATAAAAGTGAAGTGTTTAGTGTGTTTAAGAAGTTTAGACTGCTAGTTCAAAATGAAAGTGGTGAAGTAATTAGTAGGATAAGAACTGATGGAGGAGGTGAATACAATTCCACTGAGTTTCATGAATTTTGCTCATCAAATGGCATAATTCATGAAGTCACTGCACCATATACACCTCAACACAATGGAATATCGGAAAGGAAAAATAGAACCCTGGTAAATATGATGAGAAGTATGTTGAAGCAGAAGAAAATGCCTCACTATATGTGGGGTGAAGCAGCTGCTACTGCAACATATCTCATAAATAGAAGCCCTACAAAGAAGCTGCAGGATAAGACACCAGAGGAATCATGGAGTGGAGTCAAACCAAGTGTTCAACACTTAAGGATCTTTGGTTCATTATGTTTCAGACACATACCTGACCAAATAAGAAAGAAGTTAGATGATAAATCTCAAACAATGATTATGGTTGTCTATCATCAAACTGGTGCATACAAACTGTATAATCCAAGTAATAAGAAAATAATATTCAGCAAGGATGTGAAGTTTGATGAATCAAAGGAATGGAACTGGAAATAAAAGGTATCATACATATGTAACAACAAGTTACATCTATCTGACTCAGAAACAGAAGGTGAGACTGAGGAACAAGAAGAGATTGGTGAAAATACAAATGAAGGAGGTGCAAAAGTAATCACTAGACCAACAAGGAATACTCAACCACCAGCTAGGTTGAGGGATTATGAGAGATTCCCTAATCAAGAAGTTACAGATGAAGGTGACATAGTGCAACTAGCTATGCTGGTAGAAATTGAACCAATGTCCTTTGAAGAAGCTCTAAAAAAGAAGCATTGAAAGATGGCAATGATTCAAGAACTAAAATCCATAGATAAGAATGAAACATAGAAATTAGTTCAACTGCCTGCTAACAAGAAGTGTATTGATGTTAGGTGGGTTTTTAAGACAAAACTAAGGCCAGATGGGCAAGTGAAAAAATACAAGACTAGACTAGTAGCAAGAGGATTCCTGCAGAGGTATGGACATGATTACTATGAAGTTTATGCTCCAGTAGTAAGAATGGAAACAATTAGACTGATTGTGGAAATAGCAGTCAAGAATAATTGGTCTACGTATCAATTAGATGTAAAATCAGCTTTCCTCAATGGTGAGCTAAAAGATGAAGTATATGTGAACCAGCCACCAAGATTTGAGATAGAAGGAAAGGAAGAACATGTCTATAAGCTAAACAAAACCTTATATGAGTTAAAGCAAGCCCCTAGGGCTTGGAACAAGGAATAGAGAACTTTCTTGTTCAACAAGGGTTCATGAAATGTGTAAATGAACTTGGAATTTACAACAGAAATACCACAAGTAAGCTCATTGCGTGTCTATATGTAAATGACATGATAGTCACTGGAAACAATGAAGCTGAGATGAAGGAGTTTAAGGATAACATGATGAAAGTATTTGAAATGTCTAATCTAGGCATACTCACATATTTTCTAGGAATTAAGTTTGAAAGAAATGAACAAGGAATGGTTATGCATCAAAGAAAATATGCCCAAGATGTGCTGAAGAGGTTTCACATGATGAACTGCAAGCTAGCCTCAACACCTATTGATATAGGAGCAAAGTTATCCTTGTCAAATGATGAAGAGGAAGTAAATCCTACCCTGTTCAAGCAGTTTGTTGGCTCCTTGAGATACTTATGCCATACAAGACCTGATATTACTTATGGTGTGGGATTAATTAGTAGATATATGGTGAAACCAACCACATCTCACTTAATTGCAGCCAAGAGAATTCTGAAATATGTGAAGGGTACACACAAATATGAAATTCAATATTGTAAAGATCAAGATGGTGAGTTAATAGGCTACTCAGATTCAGATTGGAGTGGTGATGAAGATGACAGGAAAAGCACAACAACATATGTGTTTATGATTGGAAAAGCAGTCTTTGCATGTAGCTCAAAGAAGGAACCAGTGGTGGCTCTATCCTCATGTGAAGTTAAGTACATTGCAGCCTCCATGGCAGCTTGTCAAGCTCAGTGGATAAACATGCTGCTGTTGGAATTAAAACTGATTAGGTGTGAAAGAATGGAGCTCAGGATTGACAACAAATCAGCTATAGATTTGGCAAAACACCCTGTGGCACATGGTAGAAGCAAACACATTGAAACCAAGTTTCATTTCTTAATAGAACAAGTGAATAATGGAAGATTGAAGATAAAGTACTGCAAGACAAATTAGCAGTTAGCTGACTTGCTCACAAAACCATTGAAGACAAGCAGATTTGATGACTTGAAGATGAAGCTGGGCATGATTGAAGCACCAAACTAATTGAATTAAGGAGGTGTATTGGTTATGTAATTCAACTAGTGAGTTAGTTAGGAGGTGTATTGGTTATAAATACATTGTATTATGCAGTTAGTAGTTAGTTGCTGCACATTGTAAATCAAAAACATTGTATACACTCTCTATTCGTCATCTTGCTTCAACAACATCAAATCTTTTCACAACTTCATCTTCTCCAATTGTTGTGGCATTGTGTATGCTAGGTTCTATCATTTTGGAGAACAACATGTAGTTGTTGGCGATAGTTCATTATATTGCAATGGTCCATCCGTTTCAAAATGACTGTCATTTTAGTAAATAAAATTTGTTTTAAAATGAATGTCATTTAATTATTATTATGTACATTACTTCCAATAGATTTATAAGATTAATGTAGTAAAAGTGCAATGTCTTATGACAAAATTATTATATTTTATAATTTGCGTACAAAAACCTTAAACGACTTTTATTTTAAACTGAGGGAGAAACATATATCATGCTTATTTATGGATGTTTGAGGTTGATTGGTGCTCGAATTTCTAGAATTGGACAATTTCTTTTTTTTTTTCTTATACGATTTTACATTCTATTGTCATTGTTCTTATATAAAGAAAAATCTTAAAGTTTTTGAGCCTCAGTTCTAAAAGAAAAGTTATCAATTTTAATCCTCTAATTTCTTATATGGGAAAATGTTTAGTCTTCTTTGGTGGTAAAAATATGACATGGGCTATGCTAAACTCGAGTTGATAAATACATGAATTATGCAGTATGAGTTTATTCGAAGCCTCTTCAAGCCAAAGCAGACGTGGAGTGAA